AATCTAGAGTCTAGACCTGCACTGTCCAATACAGTAGCCATTAGCTACCTGTGGCTATTTAGATGTAAATTAGTTAAACTAAAATTTTAAAACTCAGTTTCACAGTTGCACTACCGACATTTCAAGGGCTCAGAAGCCACATGAAACCAATGGTTACTATATTGGACAACACATATAGAATATTCTATCATTGCAGAAAGTACAGACAGTGCTGATCTAGACTAACTAACACCCTCATTTTACAGATGAGGACAATGAAACTCAAAATCCCTAGACCTTATTTTGGGAAACTCCATTTTAAGGTGTTAAAAATCCAAATATTTGAGACCATATGATCAACATGTACCTTGTAGAATCCAAAATGGAGGGAAGACAGGCAGGAGATGGTATTTGGAGGTACACCTGCAAGGTGTGGCCTCACATTCTTTGGTACATTAAGGTGACTGTTTTTGGAGCAGCACAGGATGCTTGGTGTATCCTGACGAGTAGTTATTGGTAGAAATAATGGTCACTCAATTAGAGGTCTTAGAGATAACAACACTAGTCTTGGGTTTGAACATTGTCCATTAAGGAAGATACAATCAGGCAGAAAACAATGAGACAACATAAAATAAGTGATTAAATATGTTGGCTATTAGAACCAGATTCCAAGCCATCTGACCTCTCTGGGCCTCAGTTTTCCTCATGTATAAAATGGAGATGACCATTCCTACCTTTACCTCACAGGATTAGGTGTGGGAGTTAAAGGGGATAATGCAGTATCTGGCACATAGTAAGTGCTCAAGAAATGTTATAGACCTCCCCAGCTTGTATTTTTAAAACATAGTTACTAATTAACCGCAATGCCCAATTGCCCAATTGCCCATGATCACAGGACCAAAAGTCAATTTGTTAAGAAATAAGAACAATTCGGCCTGTAACTTGAACCTTGACTGACGGTTTTATTGGTTTTAACGTCATTTCCTCCTTGGCCTCTCTCTCTTTGCCAGATACTCTATTTGGAAAAGTAGCAAAAGTCCTGGCTACAAATCTCAGATCCCCCAACAATGTGATGTTGACTAAGTCATTTATGCTCCCTGCATCCTTAGTTTGCTCATCTGCAAAATGCGAGCAACAGTATATGCATTCCACCCTCTCTGGGTTGTTGTGAAAAAATCACAGGAAAGAAGGTAAAAAAAAAAAAAAAAGCTTTCTAAGAGCTCTAAATTGCTACCACAATTCACATTATTCGGGTAATCTGAATCCATATTTGAAATATAGAGAGACCAAGTTTTGTGCTCTCCTCTCAAAACTGAACCTTCTGATACTTTCCTTACAAACCTGTTTCTACTAAAGCATAAACAAATGAGCCAGCGCTGATGTTTACTGAGAAGAATCTTGGTTTCCCTCACATAGATTGAGTCATATAATCAAAATCACCAGGGAGACAGCCAAAGGGAAGAATGCCTCTTTATATCCATTGACCCACAATATCCCCTCCCCCAATTTAGAGTCTGACATAGGGGTGTAGCCATTTGCCCCAAGTTTTACTTCCTTTACCCTCAGAAATGTGGTTCTAGGTTAACATGACCAGGAAGGATGGACTTGAAAAAATAAGTCCTTTGGGCTTAACCCCAAAGGATCATTGTCGAACACACAAAACGGTCTTTAGTGCCACACTGTAAGGAGTTGAGGTCTTCTTGGGGGCAGGCCTAATGTGGCCTTGGGCCTCCTCAGATTGAGGGGCCCCCAGGGCTCCTCAGGCTTCGCTGGGCCACAAAAACCTGAGTAGACCCCTCTGAACCTGAGCCTGAGTCTGTATCTGTTCCACCAACACTCTCAGCATCAGCTCAGCCCCAAAGTAGCCTTAGGAGCCCATGGGCAGAGGCAGGAGAGCTGTAGGGAGGGAGTAGCCCCACAAGTGGGCATGGGCTCTGGACCCAACAGCAGCAAGGATGGGCATGACGAAGGTTGGAGAGGATAGAGGGAAGGTGAAGCTGGCTGGGAGCCTCCAGAAGTCCAGCGCCCCAACACACACAGAGATTCTGAAGGCTTCCAGAGCCCCTGGTTGAAAGACAACCCCACATTGTTCCACCCAGCTGCATGCGGAGAGTGGAGGTGTTACGAAAGCAGCTCCATACAAAGGTTTGCCAGACTGTTTCAGCAATAAATCTACTTTGAGTAAGTGGTGAAAATAGCTGCAGGACCCTTTAAACCATTGATGAAAGATTCGTTAACCATGCCAGAGTCATCTGTTGACTCAGATTCTTCCTGAGGGTTGTGCAGACAGGGTAAGTTTGGAGAGCTAAACAGCCAACCCACCACAGTGCTCTTGGCAGAGGTTTTTCCACAAGTAAACAACCAGCAGACAGCCAGGAAATCAAGGGCTTCAGACCCAGTGTCTCAACGACAACAGAGCAGGGCTGCAGGTCCCTCTACCATAATCACACCCCTGTCATTCACTAGTCCCTCGCAGTTTACAGAGGGCTTGGTCACATTCATGATCTGATTTGAGCTCCCTACAACTCTGCAAAGAAGTGAGGGCAAGAAATCAGTATCCCCATTATACAGAGGAGGAAACTGAGTCCCAGAAAGGAAGACTCAACCCTTGAGGAAGGGCAGTTCTGTTCCTCAAACCTGGCTGGCACTAGCAGAAATGAGGCAGGAGCAACAAGGGCCTTGATCAACACTTTTGCTCAGAAAACCAAGAAGACAGGCAGCAAACAAGACTATGTCAATCCCCAGTGTTACAAAACTGACCTACAGTTCACCTTTGTGGGTCGGTAGGGCTCGATGAATGGGAAGCTGGGGCTGGTGGACCCAGGGACCACGGCTCAGTTGCCAAGAACCACAGCCATCAGGGGACTCACTTGCCGCCACTCAGGAAGCAGCCCTGGTAGGAAGATGAAACCCAGGCAGAGGTACCATTTCTAATGGACTCCCCTCTGTCATTGCTCTTCTTGACCTCAGAGGAATGCACCCTCCCTTCGCCATTTCTTGGGGTCCTCCAGAGAAGAGTCCTTTGAACCTATTGACCGCTGTTTCCCAAAGTGTCACCTGTAGAGCCCTACCATTGCCAGATACTCCATGAAAAATAAAAAGGGTTTCATGGCCAAATATATTTGGGAAATGCTGCATACCATCTTCTCCTCGTGGAGAGGCACAGTGCACACTTAACTATGGACCATTTTTGAGAAGTTCTATAGGTGAAGTAGCCAGTTTAACTTTAACTCATGGGTTTCCAAACTTATTTAATCACAGATCTTTCCTAGACTGTTCACCTCATCTAGCTGTAGTCTCTAGAAGAAAAAAAAAAAAAGCTCTTGGCCGCAGAATTGGAAAAGTCTTGGTTCAAGTCCTATGTCTTCCTAGTTGTGGTGAGCCTGTCCAGGAATTTTAATTAATTTTGAGCCTGAATGACCTATTCTGGGAAATGGAGCTGTCATCATACATATCTCACAAGGTTACTGAGAATTAAATGGGTTAAAATGTAAAAATGCTTTCTGAAGTGTAAGGCCCGTGTGTGTGTGTGTGTGTGTGTGTGTGTGTATATACAAAATGACTGGTTCAGAGCAACATAGACAACACATGCAACTATCTTAAATAAATGTGTTTGACTTGAATAAATGTGTCAGATGCCAATGAGAACAGGCAAGGGGGAGAATGCCACATAATGGAAGTGGAGAGGAAAGAGGAATTTCATGGTGGATAAAGTCAATGATACTGCTATTTCATTTTTATTTTTATTTTTATTTATTTATTTTTGCACTGTTGGCATGCCCCACTTGTTCCCCCAAACATGGAGTCTTGTAGCCCAGGTAGGTAAAGGTGGGGATCTTGGCCATTCCCCTGCTGTGTCCTATCCACACATCCTGCCCACTCCAAGCTTTCCCCTGGTCTCACTCATGGAAGTCGTCAGGCAAATTTTTTACCTACAAGGGACTGTGCATCTTCTATCAAGACCCTGTGGGTATAGATGGAAATCCGAAGGTAGTGGTGCTTTTACATGGCTTTCCAACATGCTGTCACCCATTCTCACATGACTGATGAACTTCTTTGTATTTTCTCAAGGTCTCACCCCAGTCTTTGGGCCTTACACCAACCCTCTGAGAGTGAGCTAGCTATGGGACATGTGGGCAAGGATACGCAACAATGATGGGAACTTAGTTATCAATAGTCTCTTACAGTATATCAACCAGTGGAAGAAATTTAGAAGATGCTGGGTGGGAGCTCTTGCCTCTAGAACTGTTTCCATTCATTTTTTCTGGAGCCTTTGGATCTGGTGAATCCTTATCCGAAGTTTTTGGAGCTGTAACAGGAAAACGCTGCCGTGGTCCAGTGTTTATTCTGGATGACCACATTAGCTGCTACCCACAGCTAGAGGATAACATGGGCTTCTTGAATGCATACATGGGCTTCCTTCTGAGCTGCAAAGAGTAGCTTCTCTGTATTACCTCCCCTACTCCCTTATCTGTTGTGTATTTCATTCAAGAAGAAATGCTCTAACGAGGTTCTAGCCACCAAATACTATCCTCTCACAAAAGTCCACCTGCCTCATATTGGTGAACAGCATACAGCAAAAAGCCAGCAGAAGCTACAACTAAGGGTCACCTAATAGTCCACCTCCCATTCCTTTGACATCTGATCAAATATATAGACTTGCCTTTGTCTTTATGTTATTAGGAAATTCTGATGAGCACCACTACCCAGTGATGCAGAAAGACAGACATTATTTTGCATAGAAAAGAAGAAGGAGGAGGAGAAAGAGAAGGAGAAGAATGCTATAGGTCAAATGTCAAGCATGGTTAAATGTCATTCTTTCTCTCATCCATAATAAAATGTCTTATTGTAACAAACAGCATTAGAGATCTTGCTTTTATAACCATGTTTTTCTTCCCCAGCTACAGGGGAGATTTCTTCCTTGGAACCACAAGTCTAGCCACAAGTTCTGACTGTTACAGGAGCCTGCTCTGCTCCTTTACAAAGCCTGTTGACAGAAATGTGTGTCTGTCTCTCCCTAGGACACGTCGATAGAGAACCACCATCGTATGCAGGTTTCAAAAGAAAACCACAATGAAAAAACACAGCAAACCTCCAGGAGGGCCTTTGAGCATGCCCACATTGATCACCCTTGGCTCATGAGTGACAAACCCCACATTACATTCTATGGCAACTCCTTCCCCAATTGGGAGGCAGATCTCAGCGGTAAGAAGCCAAATGTCTTGCTTGTAAATCTGAGTGAACCTAATCATGCAGAGTTCGCTTGAGAACACTGAGGCCAGCTGAGTGTCACTTCCTCATGCCACTCACCTTAGAAAATAACAGTCAAGGGGCAGGGAAAAGGGGGTCAGTGGGGGGAAAGGGGATATATGTAATACTTTCAATAATAAAAAATTTTTAAAAAAAAAGAAATAACAGTCAAGCCTGGTCGATGTGGCTCAGTGGTTGAGCGTCGACCTATGCACCAGGAGGTCACCAATTCAATTCCCGGTCAGGGTACATGCCTGGGTTGCAGGCTCGATCCCCAGTGGGGACATGCAGGAGGCAGCCAATCAATGCTGATGATTATCTCATTGATGTTTCTATCTCTCTCCTTTTCCCTTCCTCTCTCTCTAAAATCAATAAAAACAAATTTAATAATAATAGTAATAACAGCCAAAGTTCAATTGGAGGTGGGAATGAGACTGACAGGCTCTTTGTCTAGAACTCAATGGCCAACATTCTGCAATCAGACTGCCTGGGTTCAAATTACCCACCCCTCCTTTTCTAGCTATGATCTTGGGCATGTTATTTAATCCTTCTGAGGCTCAGTTTCCTCATCTGAAGATTGGGGATAATGATAATACCTCCATAAGTCTACTGTGGGGATTGAGTTAATGTATGTAAAATACTTTGCGCAATTCTTGTTCCATATTTAGCACCCAATATATATCAACAATTATTATTATTATTACCATTCTCTCTATCACCTCACTCAGCCAGCAAGACCCCAACCAGATTATGAGATGAGGGCTCCCTGAACCCATCCCATCCAAAGCCATGGCTGTCTCAGTGCTCCAGCATTCTCTTTGCCTCTTCCCATTAACCCCAAAATGATAGCAGTTGAAAGCCAATTTGTCCCTCCCCATACCTGCAACTAATAAATTCTCATTCCCATCCTGTTTCTACAGACAAACAAGGGAACATGAAACTCCACGTGGGCGGCGGCAGCCACTTGTCACAGGAGCCTCCTGCTGAAAGATGTGTTTTCCCTCCTGTGGCCTCTGCCACTGACTCAGAAAAACACACACCTGGGGAGCTGAAGAAGAAAAAGGTTGTGTGTCTGTGTGTGTGTGTGTCTGTGTGTGTGTGTCTGTGTGTGTGTGTCTGTGTCTGTGTGTGTGTGTGTGTCTGTGTGTCTGTGTGTGTGTGTCTGTGTGTGTGTGTGTGTGTGTGTTTGTGTGTGTGTGTGTGTCTGTGCCCATGCAAGCATGCACTTAAAAGATTCATCTCCATTTCGGAACAAGGTGACCCAAAGGGATATCTCAAACAGAGAACTGGCCCTACCCACTCTGACCTCACCATGTGGAGCTGGAAAAAAGCTGTAGTGATAAATGTTGAAAATAGTGAAGTCCAAGGAATTTTAGCTGCCCCTAATTGTACCTTAAAGCATTTGATGTTACTGCACTCTCTAGTGGCAACAGAATCCTTTGTTCTACTAAGGGGCTGGGGGTTATCTGTGAATGAGTAAGGACAGAATTTGAGCCCAGCCAGCATGGCTCAGTGGTTGAGCATCGACCTATGAACCAAGAGGTCATGGCTCGATTCCCGATCAGGGCACATACCCGGTTGCAAGCTCAATCCCCAGTGTGGGGCATGCAGGAGGCAGCCGATCAATGATTCTCTCTCATCATTGATGTTCAATCTCTCTCTCCCTCTCCCTTCCTCTCTGAAATCAATAAAAATATTTTTTTAAAAAAAGGACAGAATTTGAATTTGTAAGCAATAGATCCACTTGAAACAGAAAATGCTAGAGATCTCAAATCCAGCAATGGTTTTGCATAGTGGAGGGTCTGTCACCTTTGAAAATGTAGAGTAAATTTACAGGTTTATCAGTCCCTTCAGGAGTCAAGGACACTTTCTTCCTTATCGATGTCCTTCGCTGTCTCTGGCCTGGTCCTGCCTTGCAATTCTATTTGGGTTTGGGGTAGTTTGGAGGCACCTATGCTGAGTGGGAACCCACAGGGGACCCAGAATGCTCTGCCCCAAAGCAGCTGTGTGAACTTAGCAGGTCACCCCCCCTCTAAGTTTCAGTGACCTTGTCTGCATGATGGATAATATTGCCAACCTCATATGCTTAATGCAAGGAAGAAAGGACGTGATGTGTTTTGGTGAAAGTATCTTGTGTCCGACTGGGAAGGGCAGTTAATTGTGGAGACTCGTGTCATCTGAAGTGGCCCTCGAGGAGCCACGGGCACTCCAGGTGGTTCTGGTGCCAATGAGGGAGGCTGTTTTCAGTCTATGCAGGATTTTCTCTGAGTTCCTGTGTCCTGACCTTAACCTTTCCAACCACCCGAGCAGGGCTTCTGTCTTCCCAGGAGGAAGCAGCAGGCGTGACCTGCAAGAGTCCCCACAGGCCTGAGGCACGTCCCCAATCTCATACCAGGTCATCCCAGAACTGAACCAGCCCAGCAGACAGGAGTCCCTTCCCTCAACCCACGCACATGGTTTACAGAGGAGAGCAATATTTTCCACTACATTGAAACTGTAAATTTTTAATTAGAATAAAGAAATTAAGGCTTGGCTTGTCAGCCCTACCTCACACAAATCATTTGAGTTTCCACGTAGATTTCTCAATGCAAACCTTGTCACACAGAATGCACAAGGTCAGTATTCAGAAAGGGGCAGTTGGTGGGCAGCTGGCACCGCATACAGAGGAGAGCAATATTTTCCACTACATTGAAACTGTAAATTTTTAATTAGAATAAAGAAATTAAAGCTTGGCTTGTCAGCCCTACCTCACACAAATCATTTGAGTTTCCACGTAGATTTCTCAATGCAAACCTTGTCACACAGAATGCACAAGGTCAGTATTCAGAAAGGGGCAGTTGGTGGGCAGCTGGCACCAGGGCAGTGAAGGTCTCCAGGAACATAAGGATCCTATGTGCGTGCATGCATTTGATCAATCATTTTCTTACTGTCTCCAAATTATAAATATTAACTCTGCATATATTGAGTTGAATTTCCTTCCTTATTCAACTCTAAACATGTAGGATGCCTACGTGTGTTTCTGATCGTTTTTCTCTTTTTGAGCATTGAAAAAGTGAGGAACGTTTTTATTTTTCCTCCTGTGAAACTGAACTCCCCGAAACCCAGCACACATATACATTTCATAGAGCCAAGTTCTCCTGTTAAAAGCTGCAACTAAAAGGAGAAATTTTCGGCAACTTCTGAATAATTGGAAACAGGAGACTCTAAGTACCACTCCTGGGGTTTCTGACTCTGTACACACACACACACACACACACACACACACACACACACACACCATTTTGGGGTTGGTTGTTTTTTTTTGGCCACAAAAACTGGGCTAAAGTTGTGGCTGATTCTGACAGACAGTGATTCTTTTTAGCTAAGCTCATATTACAGAAGAATAGAGATACATAGATTTTCTGCTAGTGGCGAGATGGAGTATTAAAGTCTAATGAGAGACAAGTCTACTCTCAAAGAAATATAGAAGTGAGCCCAATTCTAAACACTATTGTAACTACACATCACTAGCTCATTTAATCCTCATGGCAATTTTTTGAGGTCGATAGTATGATTACTCCCATTTTACAGAGGAAGAAATTGAGGCTTAGAGAGGTTGTGTAAGGTAAGCAACCACAAATGTGTATTCCTCTTTTCTGCTCTTTCTTACCTAAATGGTTGCATAACTAATGTTCTGCTCCTTGATTTTCTCCCATCTTTGAGATTTCTCCCTCTCCATACTTAGAAATCTCAGCTATATCTTTTAAATCTGGCTCAGTTCCCCCAGTTGCAAGAGAAGGAAAGACTATCTTTCCTCTCAAAGGCTCTTGAATTGATCACGTTGACACTTCTGAGAAGAGTCAGAGGCTGGATTAACAAGGGCAGAGCTGAGTTCCCACTCTAGTCAGATTCCCGGGTCTCAGGTTGGTTAGCTTTACTTCTCAGCCGTGGGGGCCCACCAGCAGCTCTTGGTGCTAGAGATCCAGTGAGATCAATGCCATTTGTCCCCTGCAGGCAGCCGGGTTTGAATGCCTGCCATGTTGGTCTTTGTTTTGTTTTTTAATTTTCTCCAGGCTTCAAAGACCTTGAAATTACCTCCTATCTCCCAAGAACCACCCGGAGTCCTGGACCCCCTGAGGAGTCGATTTAAAGCCAGAGAGCCCCCAGCAGAGCTCCTCGTCTTCCCAGTGGAGATTCATTTCCACACCCAGCACCCCTCAAAGGAGAAAGTGCACAGAAGAGGTAGGTCCCCTGTGGGTGGGTGCTCCTGAGGGAGCTCAGGCCGGCCAGGAACAAGTTTCAGAAACCTAACTCAAACTGTCTTAAGCAAAAAAAAAGAAATGTATTCACTCATGGAGTTGGGTAGTGCCAGGATGAGCAAACTCCAGGCTCAGGTGGATCCGGGCCTCAGAAATTGTCATCTGGGCGCTATTTGTCTGACTCTCTCATCTCTGTTAGCCTTCCCTCGCAAGCAGGCTGTCCCCATGTGGAGGTAAAGATGGCCTCCTACCTGTTAACCCCACTCAAAAGGAAGCTGATGTAGGACCATAGGTAGATCCAGACTGTATGATGTTGTTTTAGGGGATAAAGAGGAGAAACTGAAAGTGTTTTACTCTTTTTCTAGTGTTGAGGCCTTTCTAATGTAGCTATTTTTCTTGTATCTTTTCTACTTCGGTACACTTGGTGTGCTGGGTCAATGGCTAGTACTGTATTGGCTCTGTGAAAACACTTTTAAATCCCAATTCTGTCCTGATGTTACCAGATGCTACTATACTTGAATGGTTACTAAAACTGCACAGTGCTGTTTAAAAAAATAAAAAAATAAAGGCTATGCCTCTACACACTCTTGCAAAAGTACTAGAATGGCCTCTGATTGAGTTACGTGCCCTGGACCCCCAGTCACTATGGCTAAGGCTATGAGGTGCTCTCCTTAGCCAGGCTTCAGCCCCGTGCCCAACCATGGATGCAGGGAATGGACACAGCTCCACCCAAACCACATGGTGCAAGCAGGGAAGAGATGGGTCCCTCCAAAAAGAGGCAGCTGGCAAAAACCACGGGCGTTCACCACAACTTGGCTTCCTCCTCGTCTCCCAGGTGCTGCGCATGCTGAGTCAGGACCAGAAACAGAAGAGCCCAGTCCTCCCCGGAGGCCTCCCCTGAAGCATGCGTCCTCAGAAAGGCTGGCGGAGTTCACAGTCCATCTCCCAGGGGACATGGGCAGGGCCACACTCTCACCTCAAGGTAGCTACTCCCACTCTCCAGCATCCCCAGGCATCTCAGCCAGAGGGAAGCCAGGCGAGGCCCACAAGGGTCCTCAGCCATGGAGAAGGAGGCTGGGAGGGAGGTGGCCACTGGACGGCGGCTTTTGTTCGGCCAGCAGCTGCCTTAACCAACATGCAGCAGTACCAACCTGGTGCCTAGCTCATCAGTTGCTCATTAGATCATCCCCCTACTAATACTTAATAATCTCTGGTCACAGATATAAAACAGCACCAAACTGATTAAAACTTTGCTGTATGCTCTATGGTTTATCCTATGCTTTTAACCAATACAATTTCATTTCTAATCTGTTTAGGAATATGTAGTTACTCATTAAGAAGTCCATAATATCAATAACAAAAACCTTCACTCCGATCTTTCAATACATCCTATGAACGTTTGGAATTACACACATGGGTGTGTACTTGCATGTGTTGGATAGGTGGGAAGTAACGGGCCGTATTTAGAACGCTCCCCCTTCTCAGAAACATGAGCCTCCTTTCCAGAGAGCAAGTGCCTGATGGCAGCATCACAAGTGCCAGGTGATCTCCGACTAGTGGCCATCGGGAGTAGAGGGTGGGCATTAATATTTCAGGCGTTCTGAATTCCTCTGTGCCAGGCGCTGTCCTTAATTTTTAACACATCGTATCTCATTTCCTCCTTACAGCAACCCTCCCCTCCTTTCACAGATTAGAACACGGGAGCCCTGAGAGATAAGCCATTTGTTTGGGGCCACACAACTCTCAGTGGCCCAGCTGGGATTGGAGCCTGGCCTTCTGGTGCCAGGACCTCCGTTCCTCTTACTCGTTACACTGCACTCGCTGCTTTTTAGAATAAACAGAATGACGGACCCAGGCCAGGACCTTCTTGAGACATTTTGGTTTTGAGAATTTCCTTTAATTATTGGGGCAGGGGCTTATTTATTCTATCTGTTAAGTGAGAGTCAATCATCCTAAAGACTATAAAGTTTTCTTTAAAAAAAAATCAAATATGGGCAAGGGTTGCTGTCTGCAAACAGGTGAGAAAGGAGCTTTCCAGCGGCGGGCCACGCCTTTAGGTGCACAGCCCGAGCCACGGCAACGCCGGTGACATGTGTCTTGGGCATGGCTCACCTCGCACCGCCCTCCCCTTGTTTTGAGCTGCCATGTCCAGCAGGACCGAGTGTCTGGAGCTTGTCCCTCCTCTGACCCCCTGCCAGGGGGAAGCCAGCCTAAGACGTCCCTAATACCTTGTTGCATTTTCACCCAGAGCTTGGGGTTGTCTTCCAAGCCCATTGACATGGGCATTTTTGAAGAGAATAGGCTGGTTGCCTTACAGAATGGCCCTCAATTTAGATGTGTCTGCCTCCTTGTGATTAGATTCTGGTCAAACGTTTTTGGCAAGAATAGCAGGTGATGTGTCCTCCTCAGGGTATCACACCAAGGGACACAAAATATCCCTTTGCACTTACTTCATTTGTTATAGCTTGTCCCATTACAGGTGATGTTAAATTTTATCATTTGATCGAAGGAGGCTAGATTTCTCCATCGTAAAGATGCCCTTTTGCCCTTTGCATTGAACAAGTAGCTTTTGATACTTGGCGACTGTGTGGGAAGCCAGCTTTTACACACACGCAGCAGCGTGTTGAACATGAAATAAAGACCACGCTCACGGAATGAGATTAAGACAAGGTCTCCATAACTTGGATTACCTGGGCCCTGACCGGTGTGGCTCAGTTGATTGAGCATTGCCCCATGCACTGGGAGGTTGCCAGTTTAATTCCTGGTCACAGAACAAGCCCAGGTTGCAGGCTAGGGAACATGCAGAAGGCAGCTGATCAATGTTTCTCTCTCCCTCTCCCTTCCCCTCTCTAAAATCAGTAAAAATATTTTTTAAAGACTTAGAGCAATCCCTTCTAGTTTTAAGAGAGAGTTAGAGAAAGAACAGAGGTGGGCCATTGTCATCAACCCCATTGCCCTCTACCTACCCTCGGGAGGTGCTACTTTGTACCCTACGACCTTGAGGAGCCATGTGAGCGTTGGTTTGGCTTAGGGAAATTGCTTTGTGGTTGGACCTCATAGCCAATGAATGACCCCATGAGTTCTAAAACAGGGCTTCCTCCAGTAAGAACCAGCAGACTCGGGGCTGGGAGGACCCTGCAGGCTCTCTGGTCTTTCCTGGGTATCAGGAGGCCATCAGTAGAGCAAGAATAACAAGCACCACAGTTCAGATCCTCCCCGTTCCTGAAGAAAGGCCACTCTTCGAGCCAAGAGGAACTTCATCTTGGCCAGGGGAGTTACCTGGCTTCTGCCCCTTAGCAGGGCTGGAAGAGGGACAAACTCGAGAACAAGGGGAATAAACCAACCTGCACACTAGGGGCCATCAACCAGGTTAGAAAAGAGGTTGCCTCTCCTTCTTGCTGACTCAAAAGTTCTCTCACTCATGCTTGTTCTCCTTGTGCTTTTGAAGATGGAGACGCCGCAGCAGAGAAGGTGACCCCACCACTGTCCCTGATCGAGGGAAGAAAAAGTCCAGAGGGCCAGAGGGGCCCGGATGGCCTGAGGACGTCAGGCCACAGCAGCCCCGCAGGCCCCCTGAATGTGAGCCGTTCCAGGGGCGCACTCCTAGCAGAAGGACAAGGTAATCACCCCAGTGGGGCCTGGATGCCCCCAGCTTGGCTTGTCTGTGGCTTCGGGCTCATTTTAACCATCTTGCAGGGCCACCAGGCAACTGTGATGTAAGCCGTCTGAACACCACCCCATGGAAAGGGGGAATCGGCCGTGTTTCCAAAATGTCAGTGAGATTCATGTTCACCACGTTTTCCTAGAGTCAGTACATGTTTAGGGGTTTGCTGCACCAGCACGTACTGCCAAGCTGCCCTACACTCTCCTCACGCCTGGCGGCAGCGTGCAACAACACAGCTCCCTGCACTCCTCAGGGAGACATGCTACTGGGTCTACCAGACGGACTCAGCCCCAAGCCATAACCCCCTGGGGGGCCAGGGAGCCTGGTGATGCTGGGGGTGGGGGGGAGCTGGGGGAGGGGTAGACCCCGGGAGAAGGCAGCCTCCGCCCAGGGCAGAGCCAAGGCCTGTGCACAGAGAGAGAAGGACTCCAATTTCTATTGAAGGGTGAGGTAGGGCCAGGCCACACCCTCTGTGACTTAGTTCTCACTCTTAAGAGCTGACAGTTTCAGAGACTAAGATGCTTCTACAAGAGCAACAATGCAAAGACAGTACAGTAACCGCTTCCACAGGGCTTTGATCTAAAAGCAGCTCATAAAGCTAAAATTGCTTCGAGTCCAAATTGCCCCTGAAAATCCCAGTGGGAGGTGCCAGGCTGGAGACAGACAAGCCATTTTCTAGAAATTGCAGCCCAGCCAGCTCTCCCTCCCTCTTCGCAGCCTTGGGCTGCTTTCCCCGGTTGAGCACCAGATGAAGGAGGTGGTGTGTGCTTGGGCGGCAGACAATGTGAAAAAAGCATCTGTTAACAGCAGAATCACACTCAGGGATGCGGGAGACACTCTGAGGCATGTGGGGACTGAGAGCCACCAAGGCAACAACAGCTACCACGTCTTTCATTCTCACCATTGTCAGCTCATGCTCGCCCAGAGACGGATGCCTCTATTTAACTCTCTCTCTCTCTCTCTCTCTCTCTCTCTCTTCTCCCCCCCCCCCTCTCTCCCTTTCTCTCTCTCCCTCCTCCTCTCCCTCTGCCTTGCCCTCGCCCTTGTCCTCGCCCCCCCCTCCACACCCCTCCGAGCATGTATACTTGACATCTTATAAGCATAAATTAAACACATAGGTCCACAATTAAACACATAACTCCATTGTGTTTACAGCTTCCCTGCTTAAGGCTGAAATGGGCAGAATTAAGTTCCATTCCTCCCTCCAACGCTCTCTCTCTTTTCCCCCAAGACATGGTTGTCACTTACAAACCATTTCAGAGACAGAGCCCTTCTGTTGCAATCCCCTCCCTTTACACTTGCAGGGCAGTGGTGCTTTCTCAGTTTTGATACAAATGAGCCAAACACTGGCTACCACATGACAGCAGCAAGGGCACCCCTGGGAGGCTGTATAGTCCAGGACAAATCACACCACACACACACACACACACACACACACACACACACACACACAGGCACACACACTCAGGCACACACACACTCAGGCACACACACACTCAGGCGCACACACACAGGTACACACAGCACACACTCTCTCTTACCCAGCCATCCTTATAAAGGGTGAATCTCTAGAATGAATGCCAGAGCCATGACTATGACAAGAGTGCAGCCTGAAAGCTCAAGTGTGTAGGTTGGGTGTATATAAGTGAAGGTGTGGATGAGGGCACATGTATGAAGGCACATGCTAACATGCTTATGTGGGTGCATTGTGTGTTTCTGTGCATTCATGCATACCTGTGTATGCATGTGCGTAGTTATGCAGGTATGCATGCATGTCTGCAAACAAGGTGTATGCATTGATGTGTATGTCCTTGTTCATGTGTGGCACACATATGTACATGCATGCATGCCTGCATGTGGGGTGCATGCTTGCCTTGTGGGTATGCCTATATACATGTGTGTGAGTATGTGTGCACATCTCTGTATAAATATGTGAGTGTTTGTGTCTTCATTCATGCACGCCATGCCTCTGTGTATATGTGTGTGTGCTTGTGTACTTGTAAACGTCTACTTCACTGGTGGCCAACTCTACCCCTGACCCTTTGCCTTGGAGAATGGGGAAGGTGAGGGTAAACAAGCACCTTCCATCTTTCTAAGCAGCTGAGAGAATCCAGCTTCCTTCTCCCCTTGGCCTGAGCCCCTGGAGTCACTGAGCAGCCCCAGCATTGGTCTGAAGGCATGGAGGAGAGGGAGCAGAGGCTGGAATCACCAACCCTGTGCCCAGGGCTGAGCTACACACGCAAGGTGCCCCTCGCCGTCTCGCCTGGCCCCTATGGGCTGCTTGAGCCCCAAGGGGCTGCCTTTTCCAGACTCACAAAATCATGATATAAGCTAGTGGCAGCCCCGCTCTGCTCATCCCTCCTTCACTTCCAGAGGACAGGCACCAAACAAGGGTCCTGCTCTCGAATCCCAGGCACAGGGCTGACCTTGGACTCCGGCAGGCCCTGAGCACAGCCGCCTTTTCCCACCAGATCCAGGCAGCACAGGCCAGGCTCAGCCGCCCTCCCTGCCCTGGGGCGAACACTGCTCATGCGTGGGCTTATTTTCAAGAGGAGTCCAGAGACCCCTCTCTGGGACCCTTGTTGCTGGGTCCACGGAGGAGACGTCTGCCTGTCCCTCCCAGGGCCGACCCAAGGCGAGACGCTGTCGGGCGAAGGTAAGATGGTAAATCCCAGGTCAGCCTCCTTTTCACAGGGAAACGCTTTCCCTGCAGCTTCCAAAACGTCCCGGCAGCAGAGACATCATTAAACACAGACGCGAGTCAGCCAGTTTCTCCCTCTCGCTGACACAGAGGCGCTTCTGTAGCTCAGACATAATAACCCAATGTTTGCACAACAAGTTTCCTCTTGCTGAGCATCTGGAGAGAGAAGTCCCGTGGAATGGCTCGGAGGAGGGCTAATGGGCCGTGCTGATGCCTTGATGAGAAAGATAAAGCCCTTTTGGTATTTGCCCAAACTAAACACCACCTTTTCTCCTCCTTCCGAGCACCTTCCAGAGGTGGAGGTGGCTAATTGGTAATCCGATCAGGCTTCCCTGTGATGTGTGTTGGTTCATTGCTGTGAATCATCTGGCTCCTGACAGATATCAAGGCCGTTTCCAGAATCCCTTCTGGCACGTTCCCTTTTTGGGAAAGAGATGTTGGCTCTGGGCAGCAGCCATTCGGCAAAGGGGGGAGGAAAATGAAGTCAGAGGGTGATGAGTGTCGACCACCAGGAACCATGAGGGTGTGTGTGCAGGAGCCGCGCAGCCAGCAGGCCTCTGGCTGAGGGAGAGCGCAGTCTGCACTGGTTTGGAGGGTTATGTCATGGCTGGCTTCGAAAGGAGAGCGTGGGTTCAGAGCCAAGAGATTTGAGCAGCCCTGGCTTGTCCCCTATGTCGTCAGATGACTTTGGGTCGGTCCCTCGCTGTGTCCAAGTTCCTCATCCCCTCTGGAGTGAGAGACCTGCCTCCTCCACGGACAGCAGCTGGGACGTTCCCTGACGATGGCTGCCTTTTTCACGTTGTGTCCGTTGTTGCTGAACTGGCCACCTCGGACATGGTTTCCAGAAACTGGACTGCATTTGGTTCCAAATTCAGTGCTCAAGAACTTCCACCACCAAGACAGGAGTCTAAAAATAACTTGGTTCCGACGTGGGGGGGGGGGGGGGGGAGTCAGACAGGTGGAGGCCGCTGTCATTGTGGCACAGCTGGTGCAGCAGCTGGAAAGCACATAGGAGTCGGCTCACCTGCTGCACATGTGTACTCTCCGTTCCAGGAGAAATCGCTCCCCCTTTGGCAAAGCAGAAGTCAGAAGCGGGAGAGGAACTATTTAAGTTTGTTGTCACATTGTCCATAGGATGTTTCAGTCATTTCAGTGTCCCGGGCCCCTACCTAGCACAGTGCCTGACGCATACATAGCAGGATCACAATACGTGCTGGTGGAAAGTCTTTCAATAACTTTTCTACACAGAGAAAGAGAGAGAGAGAGAGGGCTGACACTTATGCTGAATAAATGGAGCCTTGCCTGCCATCTTGTCCCACCCCATGAACATTAATCCAACTTGCCTTTCCAACCCAAAGGCGTTCACTGTGAGCTTGTTGAATGAATGAATCAATCAGTCAGTTAGTGAGTCAGTCACCGGCCTCTCTCTGGCCTTTCCTCCATATACAGTTGGTGGGTCTTTAGTCTTTTTTTAATGTTTATTTTTTAAATATGTTTTTATTGATTTCAGAGAGAGGAAGGGAGAGGGAGAGAGAGAGATAGAAACATCAATGATGACAGACAATCATTGATCGGCTGCCTCCTGCACACCCCACCCTGGGGATCGAGCCTGTAACCCAGGCATGTGCCCTGATGGGAATTGAACCGTGACCTCTTGGTTCATAGGTTGACACTCAACCATTGAGCCACACAGGCCGGGCTTTTATTTTTTATTTGGGGGTGGGGGGACTTTTAGTCTTAATGGTGCTTGGATGGTGCCCTGGAAGGTGAGGTAGGACCTTAAACCCACATCTCCCTACAAGGTCCATAGAACAGATCTAGCTTTCTAAGAGTCTATTAATAGGAAAAAGTTGTTGTTTTGTCTTGTTTTGAGAAGCAGTTTACTGGAAAAAAAATTTATTTCTTGCAAAGGATTTGCTCCAACCACACCAAACTCTTTGCAGCTCAGTTTGTTCAAATCCATCTTAATCACTATCCCCTCCCTACCCGTCCAATCTCATCCCCAACTATACTCAGGCCTACCCCGGACGATCGAGCCCCAGACATTCAGTCTTTCTTCTCTTATCTCCCAGCCTTTGCCCAAATTCCCCCCAAATAGAATATAATTTAAGTTCCAGGGGAAGGCTTATCTTTTCTGGGACATTTTCCTTCATAAATCCATCTCATCGCATAGAACTGCCTGGATGTAGCCTCAGATCATTCCTCTCTCTCAATCCCACTTTTGTGATTATTGTATTTATCCTCATCTGTTTTC